TCACAGTGGAACGGTTCCAGGGTGAAAATCCATCTGGGCGCTCCCGACACTGGGCGGGAGGGCCCAGCCGCGAGGAAAAGGCCCCCAAATAAGACAATTCGTTTGGAAAATGGCCATGATTGGGCTGGGGTAGCCCCCCCATTTCCCGAGAGCGCCGTTTTGCATTGGGGAGGTCCCAGATGGACTTTCACCCTGGAACGCCTCCGGGGGGAAATCCATCTGGGCGCTCCCGACACTGGGCGGGCCCAGCCGCGAGAAAAAGGCCCCCCAATGATAGATTTCATGTGGGGACTTGCCATTTTGAGGGCTCGGGCGCACCCCCCCCCCTCCCTGAGAGGCGGCCCAGAAGGCTCCTGAGAACGCCCAAGTGGAAAATCATCTGTTCCAGGTTCCAGTTTTCACCCCGGAACGGTTCCAAAATGTTCCCCGGAACGGTTCCGGGTCGATGCCGAGAACGGGGGAGACAGCACGGGGGAGGGACGACGGCGAGAGAACAGAGGGGGAGGTGGGAAACGACGACGACGACGACGACGACGACGAGAAGGCTGACGACGAGGCCGAAGCAGAGAACGGCCAGCCGCACGAGCCTCGAAGCAGTCTGCCCTCCACAGCCTCTGCGGCGCTCCAGTGCCCGCCGCCGGGGTTTTGCGGGGCCGTGGGGCCCCCAGACGGCCAGCCGCCTCGTTCAGCCTGGAACGATCGGCGGCTTTTCGAGCGCCGAAGCGTTTCATATTGGCGATTGGCCATTGGCCGATTCTGGACCACTGGCAGCATTCAGCCCCGAACGACCGCGGCAGGGTCGCTGCCGCGTTTGCACGACACGAGACCTGGCGCACCGTCCTTTGCCTGGACGCTTGGGGCCCCGAGGGAGTGGACGAGCTGTCTCTGGCAACTTTTTCTGGCGTGCCCGCAAAAGCAGGCACGGCACGCAGGGCAGGGCAGGGCAGCGGTCGGTCGACCAGAACCCTCATGCAGTGATCTTCTGCATCAAGACAGGCATCCGCGCAGGTGGCACTATGCCGGGCCATCAAGGCCCCTAATACTTTGAGGGGGAGAACACGGGGACCATAACCGAGCCTTTACGCAGAAACGTCGGTGCAGATCTTGGTCATCGTGAATGTTGGTCAACTTTAATTCATGGATATTCCTCGCGAATCGGCGCCGGCTGGCATGGACCATGTCCAAGATCGGTGTTGGCCAGCGTGTTCCTTCCCTCGATCAAAAAGGCGGCGCGCAGCAGGGGGGTGGGGCGATGGGGCCAGCCCGCTGAGAATGCATCGGGCTTCCTAGGAACAACGTGAGGCTTCCAACAAGGTGTCTGGAAAGAGCGGGACTCTCGCGCCGCCCCGGACCCGAATCGGCTCAAGACCCATCCCCCGACAACTCCCAAGGAGCCAGTCGTTCGAGATGCAGCCAGCCGTGACGACGGGAAGCCCCTGGAATGCCCAGAGGGGGCGAACGAGGCTTCTCAGGGGCCGCCCCCCTCCTGCCACACCCCTCTGCGCGCCCCGGCAAACGGCGGATGGGGAGAGTGGATGATGAAACCAGGCTGGATATCAATGCTCCAGGGTCTCGAGAGCGACGCGAGCGGCCGATCGTAGGCGCCTGCGCCGCCGCACCAGAACGGAGAGTGTGCCTGCAGGCCCTGGCTTCGCGGAGACGCGCGCCAACTTCTCGGCCCAATACCTCCATAGTGCATCGAGGCTTGCGCTCGTTGCCAACCAGAGCATGGGAGAGAAAAGGCCAGGTGGACGTCGAACGTCTGTGTAGCATGCCACGGAGCGGGGCGAGGGAGGAGAGTGCATGCGAGTCGGCACGTGTGGCCTCCTCACATTGGCACACATCGCCCCCCCTCTGTGTCCTCGCCGTTTGACCTCAGGTCCCAGGGCCAGGGGGCCCCGGGGAGACACTCCACTTCAGTGCCTGATGCGTTAAATACAGCCCAAAAGAAGGAGCCAATCTAGGAGGGCATCTGTCGCCGATCTGATCAAACGCAGAAATGCCCCGAGACCCCTGTGGGTTCCAGGAGACATCGGGAGATGCGCACGACTCTTCCGCTGGGCACCTGCTGCTGGCGGGCCGGCTTCTTCAAGGATTTGCCCAAAATCCCCCTACTGTAGAAGAGGGCCTCCACTCTGCTGCTCGCGGTCGGCCGAACAGGGGCACGCACATCGCGAGTCACGCGAGGCTCAGGCGCCGCCGCAGACGGGCACCTCCATCCCGAACATGCCCACCCGCAGGTCGGGGGCCTGCCAGTCGAACGGCCCGCCACAGGGCGCCCTAGGAGTGGCGAGGCCCATGCGCAGAGCCACGGAGCCGAACGTGGGCATGAACTCTGGGGCGTCCGCGCTCAGGGTGGAGTCGCCGCCCTGGGCCCCAGCCTTGTTCGCGCGCTGCACCTTGGGAGTCGTGAGGCCCAGGCGCATCTGCGCGTGCTTGCTCTTCCTGCGGTCCTTGAGTTCCGACTCGGGGCAGAGGTGGCAATCCACCGACCCCCCGCCTGCCAGGGGTGACAAGGCGTGTGGCATGCTTGGCCGAGCCGCCGTCCCCATCCCCACTTCTGCGGGCCAGGGGTCCGGAACTCACCAACGCCCTAGCTGGACCATCAGAGACGCCAGATGGGCCACCAGGCCACTGAGGCACTCGAGATTAGTATGAGTGTCCCAATATGTTCAAGGATGCCGTGTAGAACGCCTCTGATGGCTAAAGATGGCTGTCGGATTGCCCCCCCAAAAGCCAGCATTCACACCAAGATGGCCCTACGAGGTCACAGGAGGATCCAAGATGGTCCGCGAAAAGCTCCAGAGAGCAAACAAAACAATACGTCAAGTTCAGTACCATGTTTGCATGTTTTGCATGTCCTACTTTTCGGCTCACGCTGTCCCCGATATAGGCTGCTGAGGCCTCCGAAATGACTAACAGCCTACTCCAAGACACCCAAACGTTCCAAGATGCCCATACGACTGTGCTCGATTGGGGCATCGCTGAGCATGGCAACGTCTACGCCATCTTGGATTCGTTTCGGGACACATGTTAAGACGATCCGGGGCCAAGCTCGAGCCCCCAAATCTGGACCTGGGCCGCACACGGGGGCGCTCGCTCGGCCTTAGGCCATTCAAGAAGCCCGGGGCCCTTTTGCTTTTTGTTTTGGTGTGTGTGTGTGTGTTTGGGGGGGGGGGGGGGGCGCACCTCAGAACGCACTGCGGCCTTTCGTGGCGCCTTTAGGGCCATTCTCAAGCAGTCTCGGGGACATGTTGGCCCGCCCTGTCACGACCCTTCCTGACAGTGGCAAATACCAAGGATCCAGAGAGCAAGCCTCCCTATCACTCTTCCGGTGATGATGATGATGCTGATGATGGTGATGGTGATGACGATGATGATGATGATGATGATGATGATGATGATGATGATGATGATGATGATGATGATGATGATGATGATGATCCCCGCGCCTGAAGGGGTGAGGAGCTCATAGCTCGCACTGCCCCTCGGACCGAGGCGGTTCCCTTTGGCCCTGCGGTGGCAACGCTCGGTCTCGTGCGCCTCGGCGCACACGCGCAGATTCGCACGAGTGCCGAGAGCAATCAACCGCCCCAGCCGAGGCAAGCGGGTGACCGATCCAAGCAGTCAAAGCGACTCAGCACGCTCGGCAGTTAGCAGAGGCCACGTTGCGCGGTCTGGCAGGCTGGTACACAGCTGGGCTGTACGCCGCACCTGAGAAACAACTCAATCTTTCGGCTAACTGGCCTCTGGACGACCGACGTTGCTCCTCAGGCCTGCGGAGATCGAACAAGAGCGCGGGCGGACCTACGCTCTCGGGTCGCCCTGCGCATCGATCGGGGGACGGGCAGGGCACTGTCGCGGAAACGCGCCAGAAGCTTCATTGAGCAGAAGGCGTGCAAGCACGCCGAGAAGGAGGCGAGCGCTCGACTGCACCCGTGGAGTTGGCTCCTGGCCACACAGACGGACTGGTTGCATTGCAGAGGGTACGGAGCCCGATCCCGAGTGAGGGCGAACCTTTCACTCCTGGGTCAACCTCCAAAAATGAAGGGCGCAATGCGCCAGACAGGCAGGAAGCATGCTTAAGTGCGCACCGAGCGCAAGGCAGGACAGTGCCAGCCAACAACTTCGCAACACTTCCCTCAGACCGAGCCTAAGCTGGACAATTGCAAGGTCGCTGACATGGGAGCCCGATCCCGTGTGTAAGAAAGCCAACACACCTGGTTCAGATTCCGCTCAAGACAGAACAGCTTACAAACGCGACAAGGGCGGCCTGAGGCTGCCAGCGAGGCCCGCCGAACGGCGGTGCCGAAAATATGACGGGCGCTCCGCGCCCGAGGCTGACTAGGCGGAACAAGCGCGCGTAGCTGCAGGACAACACCTCGCCAACAACATCGCAACACTTCCCTAGGGCTGGCCCTAGCTGGACAGTTGCAACGCCGCTGGCAACGGAGCCCGATCCTGAGTGTAAGCGGACCTACACACCTGGTTCAGCTTCCGCTCAAAGACAGAGCTAGGGCACGGAGCGCGCCGCTAAAGTAACGTAGCGAGCGCAGCACAGACAAGACCCATCAGCAGAGCAACGAGTCCCTTCGGCTCCTGGCCTCTCTCTGGACTGGCTGAATTGCCAATGGGCAGAGCCCGATCCCGTGCGTGGGCGACACTACGCACCTGGGTCAGCCTCCGCTGAAGCTTGCTGCAAAGGCAGCCGCAGCTGCTAAAGGCAGCAGCACCGATCACAAAACCATGCTGCAGAAGTTACGGAGCCCGGTCCCGTGCGTGGGCGAACCTACACACCTGGTTCAGCTTCCGCTGCGATCAGCAGGCCGCTACACGCGCGCGCACCGAGCTGAGGCCATGCACGCGGTGGGAGACAGCCGAGGGCAGCGACAAGAGACCTGACCGACAGCAGCGCAACTGTCCTTCTGGCCCTTGGCCTCACATGGGACTTGTTGCATTGGCGACGGTATCGGGCCCGATCCCGCGCGCGAGCGGACCTATGCACATGGTTAAGGCCCGAACTGGGCGAGAGAGGCTAGCCGACCACTCGCCTGCGCAGGCGGCGCAGGGGCTCAGGGTCACCGATGCTGCCCTGCCCTGCTGGCTGCAGCCCTCGCTTGAGGCGGCCGGGCGCCGCCTTCTGCCCGTCGTTCTTGGGCGCCCTCGGACGCTCCTTCGCCGAGCCCGACATCCTGACACTCTGCGCCCAGTAGCCGCTCTTGACGCAGAAGAGGTGATTGCCTAATCGCCATAACTCGCGGGATGTCGCGCGGATCGAGCCCCCGCCACGGCGGGAGCGCGGGTGGAAGCGGGGGTGGCGGCTGCGCCGCCGGCGCCGCCACCGGTTGCTCGCAAGCTGCCGCGGCCGCGCCGCCGCTGCCAAACGAAGCTCCACCACCTCCACCGTCGCGCTGATCACCGTCATCTGCTGCTGCTGCGCTCTGCGGGCCGCTGGCCTGGCTGGAGAGAAGAGCCGCGCTCGCTGCGAGGAGAGCCGCGGCCGCGGCGACCGAGCCCGAGGCCCCCTCCGAACCCGAAGTCCACGAGCCCGAAATCGCCTCGCCCCGACCCGCGCACTCCTTGCAGGCCCAGAGCGCGTCGCTGCCGAGCTCGAGCCATGTCCCATGCCTGCCGCACGTCCTCCGCGAGCAGTAGCGAAAGCTGCAGTGGCTCCTCCAGCGCAGCTTGCATCCCTGCCAGTCGCGCCGCACCGCCGCCATGCCTGGCCCCTCGTGGCCTGCATGGCGGCGCCCAGCCAGCGGAAGACCTTCCTGACGAGGCGGTCATGGCGCAGGCTGCGCGCGCGAACCTCATCGTCCGTGGGATGCATCTCCGCGCCCTGAATGGCGTGAGCGTCCGCACTGTGGTTGCCCCTGAGCTGCCAGGCGGTGATGCGCTCGGCCTGGACGTCCGCCAGCGTCGCGTGGGCCTTCACCTTGTGGACCGTGACGTTGTCGAGGCCGATGTCCTCGAGCGCTCGCCACAAGCGAACCCAGAGCTGTCGGTAGGGTCGATGCCACTGGAGGCACCGCGCCTTGCCTTCTGCGAAGCCGTCCGCGAGCAGCTGGCAGTCGGTGTAGATCCTGACTGGCGGGAGGCAATCCTAGCCCTTCGATGGCAGTTGCCAGCTCCGCGGCCCCCGACTCTTGTGGGCATGGCCAAGGGGGCGGGCCGAAGATGCTGAGGGCCTCCGCGTCGCGACTCATGACGACGGCAGCCCAACCACTTTTTGCGGAGACCAGGCTGGGGTCCAGGACGCTGCCGTCAGTAAAGAGGTCGCCAGCAAGTGTTTGGCCCACAAGATCGGCGCGTCCTTCCTTGCGCGCCAGGCGCTCCTCCGTGGGCAAAGGGAGTGAGCGCCTATGTTCGCGCTCCAGGGCCCTCGACCACAGCGGGTCCTCCGTCGCATCTGCGCTGGCCAGGTCGACGAGGGCCCCGAAAGGGATGTCGTCGGGCGGCCTCCTCTCGTCTGCGTCGTCATGGCCTCCCACTCGGCACGGCCGAGCGCGGTGGCAGGGCGCTGCCACGCCAGGTGCCGCACAACGCCGTGCGCGCTGCACCCGCGAGGGCACCGGGGCGACGACACCAGCGGCCGCTCCTCTGCGAAGCGGCGCGCCACTGGCCAGAGACAGCCGACCAGCGCGTTCTTGGCCGAGCTCATCTGCTTGGCCGCTTGCTGGCTCATCTGCTTGCGGTGCAGGGTGCGCCCGATGCTGGACAGGGCCCCCCTGCGGCCAAGTGCTCCAGGCCAGGATGCCTGCCCGCATTCCCCCGCAGCAGCCGCTCATAGCTGGCGCCGATGTGCTTGGAGAGGGTCGAAGCGCCCAAGGCCTTCAGGTCGATGGGCTGCTCCAGGTCGTTGAGGAAGAAGCCCGGTCGCAGAGCATCCCATCCCAGGCGGTGGCATGCCAGCACGCAGGCCGAGGCGGGGCCCCTGCCTGAAAGGGCCCCAGGCCCCTCCGCAGCCTTCCTCACCAAGGCCCCTGCGAACGCGCTCCCGAGTGCTCGCAAGTCCGCGCGGTCAGAGTTGGACTGCACCGCCTTGGCCCACGCCACGATGGGCAGCTGCGCTGCCGCCTTGGTGTGGCGCGCCTCGAGCACCACGAAGGCTGGCCGTCGAGGCAGTAAGTAGTCCACTCCCAGGTTCTTGACCGAGTCGGCGATGGGAAAGGCGGTGCCCCCCTATCTGCTTGGCCACCAGTGCGGCCAGCTCAGGCGAGCTCGCGAGCAACTCGCTCTTCGACTCCGACACCATGCAACCCGGCGCCACGAGCTGCGCCACCACGGCCTTGGTCGCCTGGGCGACGTACGCCGCGACCTGCGCCATGGGGCCATGGCAGCCGACGCAGCAGTCGTCGAACATGATGGCGAGGGTGACCCGAGGCTCCAGCACCCGCCATAGGCGCGCGTGCTCATCGGCCAGCACTAGCAGGCCGCACTTAAGGAGCCGCCCTGCGTGCGAGCAACCAGCGATGAGGCCCGCATCGAGCAGGTGGGGGT